GGACTCCCCCCTCCCCCAAATCCAGGGTCTCCCCTCCCTCCCCAGCCTGCACTGACCGTGGAGGGGGAGGGGGTGCCCTTGGATCGCTCCAGGCCGGGCAGGGGGCTGGGGGGCACCTTGGCCGTGCTGCCGGCCCGGCGCCCCCCGCCCCCGCCCTCTTCCTAATGTGTCCCCACCTCGGAACTCTTGTGGTCCCCAGTGTCCCCAGTGTCCTGGCTAACCCCCCATGTCCCCGTGTCCCCAATGTGCCCCCGGTGTCCCGCTGACCCCCCGTGTCCCCACCTCGGAGCTCTTGTGGTCCAGCAGCAGGTAGGTGGCCATCACCTCGTTGTACTTCTGCCCCACCAGCGACTCCTGGATCTCCTCCCGCGTGTAGCCCATGGACACCATCAGCTCTGGGGGGACACGGCCCTCAGCAGGGGACACGGGGACACTTCAGGGGGTCCCTGTGTCCCCAGGGGTGGCCTGGGGTCCCACCTGTCCTGCGGGGGTCCTTGTAGTCAGGCACGGGCTCCATGTAGGGCTTGAGCTCGTCGTCCTCGTGGCCCACGTTCATCCAGCGGTCCTTCATGATTTGCTGGGGGCACACGGGGGGCCGGGGTCACTTTGGGGACACTTTGGGGACAGGAAAGGACCCCAGGGCTCCTCGCTGCAGTGCTGGGGGGCACGGGGGGACGCCAGGGAGGGTCCCCAGGAGGTCCTGGGGTGCTCAGGAGGGTCTCAGAGGTTCCCAGAACCAGGCTGGGGGTCCCAGGATGATGTTGGGGGTCCCCAGAAGGTCCTGGGGGCCATTGGGGCTCATGTCAGGGGTCCCAGGATGAAACCGGGGGTCCCCTCACCTCCAGGGTGCCCCTCTTGGTGGGGTTGAGGATGAGGAACTTCTTGAGGAGGTTCTCACAATCCGTGGACATGTAAAAGGGGATCCGGTACTTCCCCCGCAGCACCCGCTCCCGCAGCTCCTGTGGGACCCCAAACCAACCATGGGACCCCAAACCACCCATGGGACCCCAAAAACCACCCCGAAACCACCCATGGGATCCCAAAAACACCAGAGAGACGCCCAAAACCACCCAGCAACCACCCATGGACAACCCAGCTGCAGTGCTGGGGGGCACGGGGGGACGCCAGGGAGGGTCCCCAGGAGGTCCTGGGGTGCTCAGGAGGGTCTCAGAGGTTCCCAGAACCAGGCTGGGGGTCCCAGGATGATGTTGGGGGTCCCCAGAAGGTCCTGGGGGCCATTGGGGCTCATGTCAGGGGTCCCAGGACGATGTTGGGGGTCTCCAGAAGGTCCTGGGGGCCATTGGGGCTCATGTCAGGGGTCCCAGGATGAAACCGGGGGTCCCCTCACCTCCAGGGTGCCCCTCTTGGTGGGGTTGAGGATGAGGAACTTCTTGAGGAGGTTCTCACAATCCGTGGACATGTAAAAGGGGATCCGGTACTTCCCCCGCAGCACCCGCTCCCGCAGCTCCTGTGGGACCCCAAACCAACCATGGGACCCCAAACCACCCATGGGACCCCAAAAACCACCCCGAAACCACCCATGGGATCCCAAAAACACCAGAGAGACGCCCAAAACCACCCAGCAACCACCCATGGACAACCCAAAACCACCCATGGGCACCCCAGAAACACCCATGGTGACCTGGTGACCCCAAAGCACTCATGGCGACCCCAAAACCACCTATGATGACCCCAAACCACCCATGGGACCCCAAAAACACCCAGGGGACCCCAAAAACACCCCGAAACCACCCCTGGGACCCCAAAAACACCCATGGGACACCAAAAACACCCATGGGCACCCCAGAAACACCCATGGGCACCCCAAACCACCCACGGTGACCCCAAACCACCCATGGGCACCCCAAATCACCCATGGCAACCCCCAAACCACCCCTGGGCACCCCAAACCACCCAGAGAGACGCCCAAAACCACCCAGCAACCACCCATGGACAACCCAAAACCACCCATGGGCACCCCAGAAACACCCATGGTGACCTGGTGACCCCAAAGCACTCATGGCGACCCCAAAACCACCTATGATGACCCCAAACCACCCATGGGCACCCCAAAACCACCTATGGTGACCCCAAAACCACCCACGATGACCCTAAAATCACCCATTATGACCCCAAAACAATCCATGGCAAGCTCCAAACCACCGCTGGCAAACTCAAAACCACCCACGGTGACCCCAAACCACCCATGGGACCCCAAAAACACCAGAGAGACCCCCAAAACCACCCAGCAACCACCCACGGACACCTCAAAACCACCGATGGACACCCCAAAACCACCCATGGGCACCCCAAAACCACCTATGGTGACCCCAAAACCACCCACGATGACCCTAAAATCACCCATGATGACCCCAAACCAACCATGGGCAGACTCAGAGATATTGGGAGTTCTGGCCCGGGGGTCCCAGGGGTGTCTGGGTGATGTTCTGGGGGTCTCAGGGGTGTCTGGGTGTCATCCTGGAGGTCCCAGGGGCGTCTGGGTGCCATTCTGGGGGTCCCAGGGGTGACTGGGTGCCATTCTGGGGATCCCAGGGGTGTCTGGGTGTCGTTCTGGGGGTCCCAGGGGTGTCAGGGGGTCCCAGCGTGTCTGGGTGTCATTCTGGGGGTCCCAGGGGTGTCAGGGGGTCCCAGGTGGGGGTTCCTCACCTTCAGGTCCCTGTGCACAATGAACTTCTGGTGGCAGTACTGCACGGCCGACACTATCTGCAGGACAGGGGGGTGTCAGGGGGAGCTCAGCCCCCCAGCTGGGGGGCACAGGGACACCCCCAGCCCCCTTGGGGACACGGCGGGGGGGTCCCCAACCCTTTTGGGGGTGGTCCAACAGCATCACCCCCCCCAGACCTGTCGGAACTTCGCCCGCGCCTCCTTCTCCTTCATGCGCCCGTGGGCCACCAGGTAATCGAACACCTCACCTGGGGGGCACAGGGTGGGGGGTGAGGGGCAGCCCGAGGTCCCCCCCAAGCGTCTTCTCCGTCTCGATCACCTCGAAGAGCTTCACTGCAAGGGGGGGTGGGGTTGGAGGGGGAGGGACACCCCTGGGACCCCCCCCCAAGGGTGGGGGACACCCCCGGGGAGGGGTGGGGGTGCAGCTGAGGGGGTTTTGAGGGGTCTCACCTATGTTGGGGTGGTTCAGGACCTTCATTATTCGCACTTCCCGGAAGAGCTGTGAGGGACAGGGGAGGGGGGATTGTGGGGGGTGTCAGAGGGAACGACCCCCATTTGTCACCCCAAAATCAGCTGTCACCCCCCCAGGGACACCCCTCACCTTCTGCAGGCTGGAGGAGTTGAGCTGTGTCTTGTCAATGATTTTCACGGCCACCTGCGAGGGGGAGAGCGGGGTCAGAGTGTCCCCAGGGCTGTCCCCAAAACCTGGTGGCACCCCTGAGGGGAGGGGCAGGGGGACAGGGCTGTCCCCACACCGTGGTGGCACTCCCAAAGTGAGAGAGAAGGTGACACGACCATCCCAGGGCTGTCCCCACACCGTGGTGGCACTCCCAGACTCACAGGGAAGGTGACACGACCATCCCAGGGCCATCCCCACACTGTGGTGGCACTCCCAGACTCAGAGGGAAGGTGACAGGACCATCCCAGGGCTGTCCCCAAGCCACGGTGGCACTCATGGGATGAGGACCGAGAGCTTGGGACCATCCCTGTGCCGTGGTGGCACTCCCAGGGCACAGATCAGGAACCAGAATTGTCCCCAAGCCACGGTGGCACCCACAGGACAAGGACCAGGACCTAGAACCGTCCCCACACCATGGTGACAGTCACAGCTGAGGATCAGGACACTCATTCCCATGCCAGGTGGCACTCCCAGGGCAGGGACCAGAAGCCAGAGCTGTCCCCACACCACGGTGCCACCCCTGGGACGAGGACAACAGGCCTGTCCCCGTGGTGACAGCCACAGGACTGCACCAGGAGCCCAGAGCTGTCCCCACACTGCGGTGGCACTCACGGCTGGGGACAGGAAGCCCATCCCTGGGCCATGGTGGCACTCCCAGGGCAAGGACCAGGAAGCAAAGCTGTCCCTGCACCGCGGTGGCACTGCGAGAACAGGGGCTGTCCCCACACTGTGGTGGCACTTCTGGGGCAAGCACCAGGACCCAGAACTGTCCCTGCACTGGGGTGACAACCACAGGATGCAGCCTGTCCCCGCACTGGGGTGACAACCACAAGACACAGTCTGTACCCGTGCCACGGTGACAACCACAGGACACAGTCTGTACCTGTGCCACGGTGTCACCCACAGGACCCAGAACTGTCCCCGTGCCACAGTGTCACCCACGGGCTGATCCCATCCCCACACCCCAGTGTCACCCCCGGGCTGATCCTCTCCCTGCAGTGTCACCCCCGGGCTGAGCCTGTCCCCGCAGTGCCACCCGCAGCCTGGGCCCCCCCGAGCGCTGTCCCCTCGCCAGGAAGGTGCCACTCACCTCCTTGCCGGTCAGGACGTGCCGGGCCAGCTTGACCTTGGCGAAGTTGCCCTTGCCGATGGTTTTGAGCAGCCGGTAGTTGCCGATGTGGGGCTGCTCCTCGGCGGCCGTGCCGGCGTTGCGGCCCCGCAGCATGCTGGCCTTGCCACCGCCCTTGCCCTCCACGGCGCCCGGCTGCGGGGACAGCGAGGGAACGCTCAGCCGGGGCCGGCCGCGTCCCCCCGGGGATCCCGGCGGGGTCCGCGGGCTCCGGGAGGAGCCGGGAGCGAAGTCCGGAGCGGCGGAGCCGCGCCCGGCCCGGCCGGGAGCCGCCCCCGATACCTGACGCAAGCGCCGCGGTTTCGGGCTGGGCCGCGAGGGTGGGAAGGGGACAGCGCCGTGTCACCCCCTCCCCGGGAGGGGACACGGCCACCCCGCCCCGCTCCTCTCCCGAAGATTCAGCGTCCAAATACCCCGATTTTACCCCAAACCCAACCACCCGGACAGAGTTCACGCCCCAGCCAAAGGCGGGGGAGCCCCGCAGCACTACATCGGCACAAAGCCCCTCTTCCCGCACCCCAAAAGCCGCCCCGGGGCCCCCCCGAAGGTCACCCGGGCCGCGGGGACACTTTCGGGGTGTTCCCTTACGGGGAGTGAGACGCCCCCGGGGCTGTCACCGCTCCGGTGACACCGGAGATAACGGGAGCGCGTGAGCGGGCGGGGAAGCCGAGCCAACCCCCCCCTCCCACGTGGGATGTGGGGCCCCCCAAAACCTCGCCGGGTTTGTTTTTGTGGGGGCACAGCTCGGGGTGTCCCCCTCCCCCTCCGTGGGAAGGAAACGGCTGGCGGAAGCCGTAGGGGAGGTGCCGGCGATGGCGCAACCGAACCCCCAGATTTGGGGGGAGAACGCGCAGGTTTGGGGCCCGGGGGGGACCGGAGCCTCCCCCTCCCCCAAAGCCCAGCGCGGTGCTGTGGGAAAAGTGAAGGGAAACGGGAGTTTCTGCCAAAAAACTGCCGTGGCAACGGGGCGGGAGCGTGCGGAGCCATCTGGCCGCGCTGCCGGGATTCGCTCGGGCTCTGAGGCGGCACCGACACCGGAGCCCCCCCCGGGCGGGGCCGCGGCACCAGAACCCCCCGAACCCCCCCGGGGCTCGGTGGCGGCGCTCCGGCGGCGCTCCCGGCATTTCCCGGCTCCTCTTATCGCAGAGTGGCCAAAAATATGGCAAACATGGCAAAGGAGGCACCGCCCGGCCCGGGTCACACCCGGGGAACCTCACCGGCACCGGGGGGCCTCACCGGCACCGGGCACGGGCCGAGGGACGGCCGCGGTGCTCCCCGCTGGCGGCGGCGCTCGGTAACGCCGCTCAGGCCGCGGAGCCCCTCGTGCCTCAGTTTCCCCAGCCCGCCCGCCACGAGGGGACTCACCCTGGGCACCCCGAAGCGCCGGGAGCGGCGGGAGCGGGGCGGTGCCGGCGGGAGCCCCGCGGGACGCCGGGAGGGAGCGAGCGAGCGAGCGGGGACCGGCTCGACCGGTTGGGGCTGAGGCCGCAGCGGGACAGCGCGGGGTGGGGCCGGGGAACACCTGGAGCGCCGGGGCGGGGAAAACGGGGCGGGAAAGGGGAAAACCGGCAGCGGGAGGGGCTCGTCCTGCCGGGAGAAGGGGCGCCAGGCTGGGAAGGGCCGCTGGAATGGCCATTGGAATTGTCGCTGGAATTGACACTGGAGCTGTCACTGGAACTGTCACTGGAATGGCCACTGGAATTGTCACTGGAACGGCCACTGCAATTGTCACTGGAATTGACATTGGAACTGTCACTGGAACTGTCACTGGAATGGCCACTGGAATTGCCACTGGAATTGTCACTGGAATTATCACTGGAATGGCCATTGGAATTGTCACTGGAACTGTCACTGGAACTGCCACTGGAATTGCCATTGGAATTGCCATTGGAATTGTCACCGGAATGGCCACTGGAATTTTACATTGCAATTGTCACTAGAATTGTCACTGGAATTGCCATTGGAATGGCCGCTGGAATGGTGGCAGCAGTGACAGCGCTCAGGCTGCAGGGACGTCACCAGGTACAGTGTGATGTCACCAGCCCAGCAGTGATGTCACCAGCCCCAGCAGCAATGTCACCTGGACTGCAGTGATGTCACCAGCCCAGCAGCGATGTCACCAGGCAGGTGTGAGGATCCCGGTGCCGGGAGGCGTCGATGCCACCGGCACCCGCCCACGCTGCCAGCACCAAACTGGTGGCAGCCGGTGGCAATGGCAGCAGTGCCAGTGTCCCCAGGGCCGGTGTGACAGGGACCCCCGGGCACGGCGCAGCCGGGGAGGCAGCGCTGGTTCGTGCGGCGCCGCTCAAATGTCAGCCAAATTTAGGTGTTTTTGAAGATTTTTTTTATCACCAACCCCACCAGATCGGGCTCCATGTGAGGGAGGGATTGGGGGCTGGGGGGGGGCAGGGAAAGACCCCCCGATTTCAGCTGCTGGGGTTGGGGGGGATGCGCAGCCCCCCCCGCACGGTGCTGCCGCCCCCTCCCCAAATCTTCCCAGCCAGGAATAATTTTCCTCTGGCGTTACATAACAGCGCATAAATAAGAGGAAAAGCACCCAAAACGAGGCGGGGGGGCCCGATGCCACAGCCACGGGCACAGAACAGGTGGCACCGCTTTGTCCTCGGGCTTGGGGACATTGACACGAGGTCACCTGTGCCCCCACACGCCCTGCTGGGGTCACTCCCCGGCACTCGGGGGGCTCCCCGGTCACAAAAGGGGGGAAGCTCCCCGAAATATCACCCAAAATGGGGGTGTCACACAGCTGGGGGAGCTGAGCAGCCCCCCAGGTGCTCCCCAAAAGGGCTGAGCCAGCAGAGGGGTCTCCCAGCGACCACAGAAGCTGGGGGCAGAGAGCGACCCCAAGAGCCCCCCAAATCCACCCCCAAAATGGGGAAACCCCCATCCCAGCTGCCCCCAAAGGAAACCCCCCTCCTCACCCCCTCAGACACACAAGGGGGTGAGCCCCCCATTCCCCACCCTGGGGGGGGGGCTGGTTCCTGCTCACAGGGGTCAGAACAGGAGGAATTTGGGGGGTTCACCCCTCGGAGCCCCCCCAAAGCCCGGGGAGGGCGCCGAGCCCGTGGCAGCGCTGCGGCCGCCCCCACAGCCCCCCTGTTTGGGGGGGCCGCAGCAGGGAAGGGGGTGGGGGAGGGGGTGGGCTGCCGCCCCCACAGCCCGATCGTGCAGCCACCGAGCTGGGGGGGCGACAATGACACCCCAAACTTGCCCCCCACAGCGGATCCCAGAGCCTGGGGGGGTCAATGTGGGGGACTGGCACCCCCCTGCCTGCCCCTCTCCCTTTGGGGTGCAAGGCTTGACCCCCTCATCCAACATTTGGGGTCCTGCACACAAACCCCCACTGCTGCCCCGCAGGGAACCCCGAAATGGGACCCCAAAATTTGGGGAGGGGCTCATCCCAGAGCACTCTCCCTACACCAAATCCGGCCCTGAAGGGGGCCACGGCTCAGGACCCCCCACCCCACAGGAGGCTCTGGGCCGTGGGAGACCCCGGGCTCCTTCGTGGGGGTGGAAGAGAGGAATTGGGGGACCCTTAGGCCCCCCTTTTCCACCTCACAGAGGGGCCCCGAGGCCCCTCAGAGCCCCTCTTGCCTCACTAAACAACCCCAGACCCCTTCAGTCACTCTTTTCCCTTCACAGAGGGATGCAGATCCCCCCAAATCCCCTCCTTTCTCCACGTAAAATACCCCAGGATCCCCTTTTTCACACCCAAAAATGTCCCAAGACCCCCTTACACTCCCTTGTTTTCCCTCTCAGATCCCCTTTTTCGCTCAAAAACCGACCCAGCTTCCCGTCAAACACTCTTTTTACCTCACCAAATCTCTCAAATCCCTGTCAGGCCTCACTTCCCCCCTCACAAACAGACCCCAGACCCTTTTTACAGCTCGCAGAGCGGCCTGGGACCCCCTTTTTCTGTCACAAGCCGGGCACGGAACCGCCGGGCTCCCCTCAGGGAACAGCCCCAGCCTCCCTCAGCCCCCTTTCCCTCTCGGATCCCCCTTTTTCCCCCTCAAAAACCAGCCCAGGTCCCCCTCAAAACACCATTTTTACCTCACAAAATTACTCAGGCCGCTCTAAGACCCCTTTTCCCCTCACACAAACACACTCAGTTCCCATTTTTTTCCACATGGACGGAACCAGAACCCCCCCAAATCCTCCTTTTCACCCTCTCAGATCCCCCCCTTTCCCCTCACGAATCAGTCCCCAGCCCCTCAAATCTCCTTTTTCTTCCCTTTCCCCTCACAAACCGACTTCGAACTCCCCTTTTCCCGTCACAAACCGACTCACGATCCCCTTGAGCCCCTTTTTCCTCCCTCAGATCTCCCTTTTCCCCTCACAAAAATTCCCCAGGCTCCCCCAGTCCCCTCTTCCCCTCAGAAAATTCCCTTTTTTCCCCCCAGCCGCCCCTCTCCCCTCACCCTGGAACCGGCTCCCCCTCCATCCACCCCCGATCCGCGCCGTCCCTCCCTCACCTGTTCCGCGTCCCTCTCGTTGACGGTCGGCAAAGGGCTGCGACCGCTGCTCGACATGGCGGCCCCCCCCCCGCGCCGCCGGCGACTATCGCGATAGGGGGAAGCCGCGGCAGGCGGTGTGCGGGGAGGGGGAAGGGGAGGCGGGAGAGCTCAAGGCCCGGGGGGGGGCCCAGGCCAGCGGCATTGGGGGGGCCGGGAGACCGCCGCCGCCTCACGCCGCCGCCGCCGCCTCAGCGCCCCGCGGCTCCCAACATGGCGGCCGCCGCCGGCCCTCGGCCATTTCCGCCGCCGCGCCGGAAACACCCGACACGCCTCCCCGCACCGCTTCGGCTCTTCCCGGAGAGGTTCGGCTCGCGGCCGTCACAGACTTCGAGTGTTTCCGCCTCCACGACGGAGTCACACGAAGCTTCCTTCGGTACTTTCCGCCGAGCACCGCGGGAAGTGCCGAGCGCCGCCCGCTCCGCCGCGACTCCGAGTAGAGCCGGAAATACCCGAGTGAGGCCGAAACACCCGAGTGGAGCCGGAAATACCCGAACACCTCTTGGCAGCCTTCGGGCGCTTCCGCCCGTGACGGAAACACCCGAGCGGAGCCGAATCCCCCTCTCCAGCCCTGATGGGGACCCCAGGATGGGGCGGGGTCGGCCCGGACCGCAGGACCCTCCCCGAATTTGGGGGGCTCTCTCGGACACCTGGACCCCCCTCTAATTCGGGGGGCTTTTCTGGACCCCTGGGTCCTCCCCGATTTTGGGGGGACGGATGCTCCTTGTCTGCGTGCATGGGGGAGGGGAGCATCCGGGGGTCCCCCATCCCTCCCTCATGGGGAATCCCCCTTTAAAATCATCGCTATGGCTCCTCTGGAGAGGGGGGTGGGCTGAGACTGCCGGACACTCATCGCCCCCCCCCGCAGCCCCCCGTTGCGGGGAGGGGCGGGCTCTGGGGGGGGATGGGAAAGGAGTGCGGCCCCTTTAAATTTACCCAGGAGCCCTTAAAGGAGCCCCAGGGGCCCCACGGCAGCGTCCCCCTTGGCAGCCTTCGGGCGCTTCCGCCCGTGACGGAAACACCCGAGCGGAGCCGAATCCCCCTCCCCAGGCCTGACGGGGACCCCAGGATGGGGCGGGGGGCGGCCCGAACCGCAAGATGCTCCCCGAATTCGGGGGGCTTTTCTGGACCCCTGGGTCCTCCCCGATTTTGGGGGGACGGATGCTCCTTGTCTGCACTGGGAGGGGGGCGGGTCCAGCCACAGAAGGGCGTGTCCTCACCCTGCCACGCCCCCTTTGGACCAAAGGGGCGGGGCCGGGATGGGGGGAGGGGGGTTCCATGGGTGCCCCTTCGCTCCGGGCACCCCCGGGCGGTGCTGCGGGGTGGGGGCGGGGATGGAGGGGGTGCATGGGGGAGGGGAGCATCCGGGGGTCCCCCATCCCTCCCTCATGGGGAATCCCCCTTTAAAATCATCGCTATGGCTCCTCTGGAGAGGGGGGTGGGCTGAGACTGCCGGACACTCATCGCCCCCCCCCCGCAGCCCCCCGTTCCGGG